TTATACTCCTTGACTAATTACTGAAGGGGTATTGGGCTGTCTGGCTTCGGATGGAAGCTGCCCCAAACCCATTAAAACCCTACACCCTAAACCCCTAAACCCCTAAACCCTAAACCCTCAACCCTAAGCGAGCTCTTTTGCCAGGGACCTTCGTCCTCTCTCGTCGAACTGCGACCTGAGGCATCGCAAAAACTCCGAGGTATCCGAAAGTATCCTTAGGGTTTAGGGTTTGGGGTTGCAGGGTTTAGGGTTTGGGGTTGTAGGGTTTAGGGTTTAGGGTTTGGGGTTGTAGGGTTTAGGGATGTTTAGGGTTTGGGGTTGTAGGGTTTCGGGATGTTTAGGGTTTTAGGGTTTTAGGGTTTAGGGCTTTGTGTCCCTAGGTGTCCGAATGTATTCGTTACGAAGGATCCCCAAGGCAATTCAAGGAATAGATGATCGTAGAGAGACTCCTATTATGGCATGTTAAAAATACACTATAGTATGTTATAGCATATTCTTCTGCAGCATAGTATAGCATACTGTTGTATGCTATAGTATGTTCAAACATGTTACAATAGGTTTTACTATAGCATGTCATAGTATGTTGTAGTATGTTACAGTATACTTTTCTATAGTATACCCTAAACCCTAAACCCTAAACCCATGGTTCAGTATATTTTGCTGCAGCATCGCGTCGTCTCCGCATGTTTGGAAGCCCGCAGGGTGGTGACGAGACCACGGAGACTCTGAGGCCGGATGTCGGGCCCATGGTTTAGTGTTTACCTGTAACCGAATTTAGGACCTACCTTTCTAGGGTTCCTTATTATGGTTTCTACATATAGTGTCTTAAACAGGTAGGTCTTTTCGGTTACAGGTAGGGTTTAGGGTTTAGGGATTAGGGATTTGGGGTTAGGGGGCTAGGGATGGGGGGGTTTAGGATTTAGGGATGAGGGGGTTTAGGGGCGTAGGGTGTGGGGATGAGGGTGCTTAGGGTTAAGGGATTTGGGGTTAGGGGCTTAGGGTGTAGGGATGAGGGGTTTTAGGGTGTTGAGTTAAGGGGTTAGGGGCTTAGGGTGTAGGGATGAGGTGTTTAGGGATGAGGGCGTCTAGGGGCTTGGGGTGTAGGGATGAGGGGTTTTAGGGTTTTGGGTTAAGCGATTTGGGGTTAGGGGCTTGGGGTGTACCTGTACCCGAAAAGACCTACCTTTTTCAGGCACTATATGTAGAAACCATAATAAGGAAGCCTAGAAAGGTAGGTCTTTTCGGTTACAGGTAGGGTTAGGGTTTAGGGTTTAGGGATGAAAATCAAGCCAACCTGCCAGGTACAACTCCGTCATGTCATTGGAGGAGGGTGACTACCAGGTGCTCCTTAGACCCAGTATGCCGCCTGGATGTTTCTCTTGCCTGGTGGTTGAGGAGTCGCAGCAGTTCGTGATGTAGTGAGAAATGAGTGCATGTTGATACCGATAGTTGCCACAGCAGCCCCGGTGGACTGTTCTGAGCGTGGTGTCAGTACCAGTGGGTCGCGGTGCTTGGTGTTCACAGTCTTCGCTCTTTGAAGGTGGTGCTCCAGCAAGGAAAGGAGAAGCTCGAGGCTGACCTAACATGTGCATAGAGAGCCCACTACCCCTTAAGGGATATCCATTAAATCAGACTAGTGGGTCCCCAAGGTAACTACCGCTTCTTATTGAAGGGCTACTGGGCTCTCTTGATGGCTGGTGTGTTCCCTAAACCCCAAACCCTCTGCTAAGCCCTAAACCTTAAACACTAAGCCCTAAACATCTGTGTCGTGCTATTGCTGTCGACTGCCCTGCCTGCTCAGTACGAGATGACCGCGCAGCTGATGCCTGAGCAGTGAAAAGATTTAGGGTTTGGGGTTTTAGGCTTTAGGGTTCGGGTTTAGGTCACTGTTTAGGATTTAGGGGTTAGGGGTTAGGGGTTTTGGGGTGCAGGGTTTTAGGATTTCGGGTTTAGGGGTTTAGGGGTTTAGGGGTTTAGGGGTTTAGGGTTTAGGGGCTTTTTGGGTTCTTGTTAAGGAACTTAGCTCAAAGCTACCATAATAGGGACCTATTATGGTAAATAATAGGGGTTCCTTATTGTGCTAACTTAAATCAAGTCCTTCAAGGAGGGCCCAGTCTTGGCATCGTGGAATTCTGGCCTTGGGGCTAGGGGTTTAGGGTGTCAAGTCAGGATAACAACGACATTCAGTTCAGGGTTTAGGGGTTTTAGGGGTTTAGGGGTTTTAGGGGTTTAGGGGTTTAGGATTTAGGGTTTAGGGGTTTTAGGGGTTTTAGGGGTTTAGGGTTTAGGGTTTAGGAAGCTGTCGATAGCCACAACGAGGTCAAGCGAGGCCTATGTCATGATCCGATGTGGCAGGGTGCTTAGCTTTCCACGTGCATAGCTGCATCGGCCTCATGTTGAAACCCTAAACCCTAAACCCCAAAACCTAAACCCTAAACCTCAAAACCTAAACCCTAAACCCTAATACCCCGAAACCTAAACCCAAAACCTTAAACTCTAAAACCCCTAAACCCTAAACCCTAAAACCCCCAAACCCCTAGACCCTAAGCCCTAAACTGCGTGAGGTGTGAATTCTGACGTGATGCAGAGCTTCAAGGAGGAGCTTCTGGTGCTTTTGCCGGTGCTGATCCTCATTTTGTTGGAGCACCACTTTTGGCGGTCTGAAGAATCAGTTTTTTTGGTCCTGGGTTTAGGGTTTGGGGTTTGGGGAGTAGGGTTTAGGGATTATTTAGGGTTCAGGGTAAAGAAGTGCTTCAGCTTGTTGAGAGCTCAGTAGCTTCAGTGATTAGGTTTGAAGAGCGAATAATTATGTTTCGGCAGGAGTCCCCGTGATGGCTGTAGAAGAATGACGAGTTGGATGTCGATCTGATCTGTGCAGTTGCCTGCGCGTCACCCATTTCTTCACCCAGCGACACAGTGAACATGTTGTAGCCAGTCGTGACTCGAAACTTCAACAGGGAATCAAGCATGTCGCCTGTGTCTACCTGCGAAGTAAGTGACCAGCTAAGCCCGAAAAGCAAGCTCTACACACTTCGACGGATTGTAATTGTGGCCAATGCCCAGCCATGGCATGGGGGGCATCATCACCAATGAGGCCATCAAGGTCACGACTGCTGTGCCTGTATGGCACCGATTTCCAGAGGCAGAAGCTCAGATTTTCTGCTGGCCGGCGCCGAAGCGTGAAACCCCCTCCCCAAGCAGCGCCTTCTAAGAATGACCTTTTTCAAGTGGTCTTCGAAGTGCTCGGAAAATCATGGCTCCAGGAGATGGTCGGTTGTAGCAGAGTGCCGCATGCCCTGTCAAAAGACATCTTCCGTGTTCTCTGTCTGCCCCAAGAGCCGAAGCCGCGTTTCTGCCTGAATTGCAGAGTCCATGACAAGCTGCACAGAGCTCTGCGCCACCTACAGATCACGCGCCTGGAGACAGAGAGAAAGACCGAGGCCCTTGAGGAACAGTATGCATCCGTACGAAAGCACGTCACCACGGTGCAGCGCACAACCTGTGGAGAGGTGGATGCAAAAAAGCACAGCGCCAAATCTCGGAAGGACCAGACTTTGCGATGCCGCCCCTCACAGTCCTCCTTAGGGAGCTGCAGTGTGTACAGTAACGAGCATCGCCAGAGCACGTAGGCTGGCACAGTTCCTGAATTCAGGAAGCCAGATTGCAAGATGTTAAGAAACTCAGTCTCACCGCCATTGGCAATACCAAGGCACAGCGTTGGCGTTCGAAGCAAGAATGCAAAGAGGGTGCTGCTTCACAGTCGCAGCCTGTCTGTCTGTGAGAGAAAAAAGCGACGCCAGGAGCTGATCATCTATCCCAGCGAGTCCCAGGCCTTTGGGTTCAGGGTTTAGGGTTTAGGGTTTATGGCTCACGTCGCAAACTTGCCATCTGAGCCGAACTGCAGGAGAACGAAGAGCCCAGAGAAAAGGCCTGCTGCTCAGGATCAGGAGAGCGATCGATGTCCGGATTTTCAGCTGAGGCTGGGACTGTCTCCTTGGTCCCGAGCTCATCGTGGAAGCAGACGTGGTTTGGCAATCTTTGGCCTTGCCCTTGGAAGCTCAGAGGTGCTTTCATGGTGTACGATTCTGACGGCCATCGCCGTCTTCCTGTGAGACCCGTGGCGAGCGCTTGTCCGCATATTGATCTTGGGTGGAGGTGTGCAAACACAGCTGTTGTGATCAGATTTGCATTGAAGCGTTTCCCTTTGCCCTGCGTTCGTGCACTCCTCGACCCGGACATTTGCAGTCTCACACAACCAAATGGACATAGGCATGTCGCGAAATGAAGGATGGCTTGATGAGAGCACCAGAATCCATTGGGAAGGCGCAAGGCCTGCGAGGCACTCTCATTATTGCTTGTCGTCTACTACTACTAACTACTACTACTACTACTACTACTACTACTACTCCTACTCCTACTCCTACTCCTACTCCTACTCCTACTCCTACTGCTACTGCTACTGCTACTGCTAATGACACCCCTAAGCCCTACACCCCTAAACCTTACTTCTGAAAGTTCCGAAGCCGTCGGCTCTCCGGGTGGGATTGAGCCCAGAGGCCCGCGGAGCCTGCGCAGATGTCGGCAGTAGAGACTGCAGAGGCCGCCTAGGGGTTTAGGGGTTTAGGGGTGTAGGGGTTTTAGGGTTTTAGGTGTGTAGGGTTTTAGGGTTTAGGGGTTTAGGGGTTCAGGGTTTAGGGGTTTGCGGGTTTAGGGGTTCAGGGGTTTAGAGGCTAGGGTTTAGGGTTTAGGGTTTAGGGTTGCAGAGGCCGCCTCGGGATCGGGCATGCCAGCTGCTGAGCCCGCTTCCGCGACGTCTGCGGCATTGGGCCGGGGCAAGAAGAGCATGTCTGAGCTTCTGGGTTCTTGTTAAGGGAGTTAGTTTAAATTACTGTACCATAAGTAATAGGGATCTATAGTAAAGAATAGGGTTTCTGTATTGTGGTAGCTTAAACTAAGTCCCTTAAACAAGAGCCCAGGCTTTTGGCGAGGGTTACCTCTGAGGGCCAGGGATCGAAGCTGTCCGCTGCAGAAGTGGACGACTTCTTTCGCGCTGAGCTCTGGCGGCCAGAGCCGGAGCCCAGATCTTTCCAACACCAGGTCCACGGGACACCCCAAGACACTACAAGCCCTAAACCCTAAGCCCTAAACCCTAAGCCATAAACCCTAATCCCTAAACCCTAAGCCCTAAACCCTAAGCCCTAAACCCTAAACCCTAAACCCAAGCCCTAAACCATCCTAAACCCTAACCGTTCCAAGAGCAGGTCTTGGATCGTGCAGCCGACCTTGCACCGTCCAGCAGCGCCGCGCCACCGGCGGGTCCCGCTCCTGTGCTCTTGTGCAGGACCTACCCATAGGCCCCTAAGTAGTTTTAGGGCTGTGGGGTTGTAGGGTTTAGGAACTGGGGTCTAGGGTTTAGGGTTTGGGTTTTAGGGTTTACCCATAGGCCCCTAAGTAGTTCCTTTTTGTGGTTTTTTACATTTAGAATCCTATAAGGAATACGGTGGATGATATAAATCCTGCATTACCCATAATTATTATGAGGAATATGATACCATAATTCCCATAGTTTAGGATCCTTAAGGTCATGCAGGATTTATATCATCAACAGTAGGAAGCTATCTTTAGATCATGTGGTTTCCCTATAGTAAATCTGGTGTCCTTACTATTATGGTGCTTGAGTAGGAATCTACGGCAAAAAGGTGGTTTCCTTTGTGGTACTTGTATCGTAAGTTAGTAAGTTCCTTTGGACCTGTAGTAAATAAGGTGGTTTCCTTAAAGTAAACCATGTGCTTTCCCTATAATGAGGGTGGCTTAAGTTCGTAAGTTTTGAAACCTTAAACCCTAAGCCCCCAACCCCAAACCCCATAAACCCAGAGCCCAGGTTACTCCTCCAAGGCGAGGGCGGCGAGTGCCCGTGGAGACCCCTTCGCCGCCTCCTGCCCCGCCGCGAGGCAGGAAAGGCCAGGCGGTGGCAGAATGGTTTCAGGTTTAGGGCTTAGGGTTTAGGCAACCCTAAATCCTAAACCCTGAACCCTAAACTTAACGCTAAACTCTAAACCGCAAACCCTAAACCCTAAACCCGAAAACCCTCAAGCGAAAGGCCAGCCGGTGGCGGAGCCGGCCTCTGCGAAACGCAAGCGGGCGGAGCCGGGGAAAGGGAAAGGCCCCGCCTCTCCGGGACATCGGCTCACGGCGAAGTCCCCGATGCCAAAATGCATCCTCAAGAAGGCTTCTCCCAAGAGACAGATCGAGAAGCCAAACACACTACAAAAGTCAACGCCGCGGCAGATTGCCAAGCTGCGACAGGTGGGAGCATTGGCTCGCGTTCCGGTGGATGCATTTGCGTCCCCTGAGTCACACGTGATGAAAGTGGAGCCAGAGACCTTAGGTTTCGTAGCTGAATCAGCGTTTTTTCTAAAGCACTTTTGGTGATAGTACTCGCCCCTAGCTGAACCCTAAACCCCAAACCCTACACCCTAAACCTGAAAGAAAGCCTTAGGCGGGCGGCCGAAGAGGCAAAGGATGCCTCCGCTTCAAAGCTGGCGAAATGAGCGGGTTGTTTATGAGCCTGGGCTCTCTCCGTTAAGGAGCTTACATAAAGGGATCTAGGGTTCAGGATTTAGGGTCTAGG